GAGAACGAGGGGAGGTAAAGACCAGTCAGGGTGCCAGAGGGGGCCGCCGGACACGGGAGGACAGTGGAGAAGCGAGACAGGACAGGCCCCCCAGAGGGGTCAGCCAGGGACACCGCAACCGGCCGACTCAGCGGCGTGAGAGTGGTGCGGTCCCGAAAGAAGGAGCGAGACGCTCCAGAGTCAAGGGTGAAGGTGTGAGAGGCCGAAGCCGACACAGTACCTGAGAGGGCAGACTCACCAGCACCTGAGAGCACAGACGCACTGGCACCTAGAGCAGCAGCCTCACTAGTACCTGACGCGGCAGTACCAATGCCCGGGTCGGGCGGGAAACACCGGTAACAGTCATCCTCATCACTACCAATCGCAGCATACATAGCAGAGAGAATAGCATCAAAATCAAGATCATAAATAGCTACACCAGCCCTAGACAGCTCTCCCCAGCGGGGGATCTCAGCTGCCTCCGGAAACTGCTGACGCCAGGCGTCAGTCAGGCGGCCAAAGCAGCGGCGGGCAGTGTGGGCGCCTCCACACCTCTCCCCTGCACGGTCACCGGTGCGGAGAACGTAGGGGCAAGGACCAAGCGCACCACCACGCTGACGCTGCGAGTACCACTCACGGAGCTGCTGAGGGGCGGGGACGGTGCGAGAGCGCTGCTGCTGCTGTGGCTGCTGCTGCGGCTGCTGCTGCTGCTGCTGCTGGCGCTGACCACCCCCGGAGCTGCTCCGCTGGGACGAGCCACTCCGACCCCCGCCTCCACTGCCACCCCCGCCTCCACCGCCACCCCCGTCTCCACCTCCACCTCCCCCACCAGGACCGTCGCTCCCACCGCTCCCACCGCCTCCTCCGCTACCACCTCCGCCGCCACCTCCGCCTCCACCGCCGCCACCAGTACCTCCACTCCCGCCACCACCCCCACCGCCACCCCCACTCCCCCCGCCACCCCCACCGCCTCCTCCACCGCCCCCTCTAGCTCCACCCGCTCCCTTTCCCCCCTTGCCCTTGCCAGCGCGGCGTCTGCCGCTGGGGGCAGACGCCGCGCCGACCGACTCAAAACCAGTGAGGTCGGCCGCAGCGGCAGAGGCGACAGAGGGCAGCAGGGGGGAAGGACCACACCCCTCAAAGATGGGGGTGCGAGGGTCACCCCGAGAGGCCCCTACAGCGACAATACTCTTCTCAGCCGCTAGCAGGGACTCCTCAAGGAGGTCGACAGTGAGAGTGGTGGGACAGACAGAGAGAAACTGGTCCCTAACGACACGAAGGGACTCAGGGAGACGGGTGACGAGAAAGTAGAGAGTGATGTACATGGGAGGAGGGTTCGCAGCGCGGAACTCAGCAGGAAGGGCAGCGCGGTAGCGGGTGTCACTAGCACGGAGGTGGGTAACGAGGTCAGCGACAGTGGGAAAGGAAGCGAGGTCAGGGAAGAGAAACGGTAGCATGAGGCGGCTAAGGGTAGCGGAGGAAGGGGAGGAGTAGCGTGCAACTACAGCGTCGTACAAGGCCTGAGCGGTCTTGCACTGACTAAAGTGGGCACGCTCAGAGGAAGGGAGGTGGCGACGCACAGCAAGACGTGCAGCAGCATCGCGGGTCGCCCACTTGGAGCGAACGGCAGAGTCAGCATCAGCAGGTGGGGCAGGGACAGCGCCAGAGACAAAGTCAAAGAGAGAGACCTCATCTATCGCATCACACAGTAAGTACAGCTGCAGGTCTTCAATCCAGACGGCAAAGTCAATGGCCCTCCCCTCAGCGTCAAAGGTAAGAACATTGGGGGTGGCCATGACAGCAGCTGAAAATCTCACCGGGCTGGGAGAGGCGGGTAGGTCAGCAGCAGAGGAACAGCAGAACGGCTCCGCAGGCGGCTCGGGCGGCGCGGGCGGCTCGGGCGGCACGGGCGGCTCGGCGGCGGCTCGGGCGGCGGCTCGGTGGCGGCTCGGCGGTGACTCGGCGGCGGCTCGGCGGCGGCTCAGGCGGCGGCGGCTCGGCTGCTGCTGGGCGGCGCGGGCGGCTCGGGCGTCACGGGCGGCTCGGCGGCGGCTCGGGCGGCACGGGCGGCTCGGCGGCGGCTCGGGCGGCGGCTCGGCGGCGGCTCAGCGGCAGCTCGGCGGCGGCTCGGCGGCGGCTCGGCGGCGGCTCGGCGGCGGCTCGGCGGTGGCTCAGGCGGCGGCGGCTGCTGCTGGGCGGATCGGCGGGGCCGCGTAGCAGAGTGGCGGCGGGGCCGCGACCGAAGAGAGCGGCGGGGCCGCGTAGCAGAGGGCGGCGGGGCCGCGTAGCAGAGGGCGGCGGGGCCGCGTAGCAGAGGGCGGCGGGGCCGCTACCGAAGAGAGCGGCGGGGCCGCGTAGCAGGGGGCGGCGGGGCCGCGTAGCAGAGGGCGGCGGGGCCGCGTAGCAGAGGGCGGCGGGGCCGCGATCGAAGGGCGGCGGGGCCGCGTAGCAGAGAGCGGCGGGGCCGCGTAGTAGAGGGCGGCGGGGCCGCGTGGCAAAGGGCGGCGGGGCCGCGATCGAAGGGCGGCGGGGCCGCGTAGCAGAGGGCGGCGGGGCCGCGTAGCAGAGGGCGGCGGGGCCGCGTAGCAGAGGGCGGCGGGGCCGCGAGGCAGAGGGCGGCGGGGCCGCGTGGGGAAGGGCGGCGCAACGGTCCGCTAGGGGCGACACGACGGGTCGCTAAAAAAAAAAAAAAACGCGCCTCGGGGCGCGGTTCGGTGGGCCCTAGAAGCAGTCCCTAGGAGGGAACCTGCTCTGATTCCATGTGGAAACAAAGAACGAGAATGAAATGACTATGAACGAAGTGAGTACAAATAGGAAACCCTAATTGGGTTGTACCCCCTATGGGATACCCCACTATAGCCTACAAAAACAAGTAAGCTATATGTTCTGACAAAGTGCGCACGCTCAGAGGTAGGGAGGTGGTGACGCACAGCAAGACGTGCAGTAGCATCGCGCGTAGCCCACTGGGAGCGAACAGTAGGGTCAGCATCAGCAGCAGGGGCAGGGGAAGCGCCAGAGGTAAGGTCAAAGAGAGAGAGGCCGTCTGCCCTATCGCACTGTAAGAACAGCTGGAGGTCATCTACCCAGACCTCAAAGTCAATGGCCCGACCCTCAGCGTCAAAAGCGAGGACACTGGGGGTAGCCATGACGACAGACGCCTAGCAGTGCAAGCAGTAGGGTGAGGGCAGCGAAGTGAAAAAGAAGGCTCTGCGCTCACCAGGCTGGGTAGAACGGGCCGTATGGAAGTAGGGCAGCTCAGCGGCCGGCGGCTCGGCTGCGGGGCGGCTCGGCTGCTCGGCGGCTCGGCTGCTCGGCTGCTGGGCGGCTCGGCTGCGGGGGCGGCTCGGCTGCGGGGCGGCTCGGCTGCTTGGCGGCTCGGCTGCGGGGCGGCTCGGCTGCTCGGCGGCTCGGCTGCTCGGCTGCTGGGCGGCTCGGCGGCTCGGCTGCTCGGCGACTCGGCGGCTCGGCGGCTCGGCGATCGGCTGCTGGGCGGCTCGGCGGCTCAGCGGCTGGGCGACCCGGCGGTCGGGCGGCGGATGGGCCGCAGGTAGGGCGGTTGGCGGGCCGCTGAGTAGGGCGGCGGGGCCGTCGATGTAGGGTAGGGCGGCGGGGCCGCAACGTAGGGCGGCGGGGCCGCGAAGTAGGGTAGGGCGGCGGGGCCTCGACGTAGGGCGGCGGGTCCGTCAAAGTAGGGCGGCGGGGCCGCAACGTAGGGCGGCGGGGCCGTCGAAGTAGGGCGGCGGGGCCGCTACGTAGGGCGGCGGCGCTGTCGAAGGGTAGGGCGGCGGGGCCGCGACGTAGGGTAGGGCGGCGGGGCCGTTGAAGTAGGGCGGCGAGGCCGCGACGTAGGGCGGCGGGGCCGTCGAAGTAGGGCGGCGGCGCCGTCGAAGGGTAGGGCGGCGGGGCCGCGACGTAGGGCGGCGGGGCCGCTAGAGTAGGGCGGCGGGGCCGCGACCGAAAGGCGGCGCGACGGACCGCTGGGAGGGGGGGAGGGCGACACTACGGGTCGCTAAAAAAACGCGCGCCTCGGGGCGCGCTTCGGTGGGCCCAAGAAACAGTCCCTAGGAGGGGACCTGCTCTGATTCCATGTTATAATGAGAACGAGAATAGATGAACTATGAGCGAAGTGGGTACAAGTACTAACCCTAATTGGGTTGTACCCCCTATGGGATACCCCACTATGGCCTACACAAAAGCATAAGCTATAATGTTCTGACAACATCAGCCCATCGTTCCACGACAGCCTACTTCGCCCGTACATCCCAACCACCAGCCAACTGTCTTGTCACCGCCCGCATTCCATGACCCGCCCTGCGTCGGAGCTGATCATTGAGCCCGAAAAAATCATGAGCCATCGGATTCGCCACCCCACGGGAATCAGGAGGATTGAATTCCTCGTTCGCTGGAAGCACCGCACACCAACTGAAGATAGCTGGGTGCCCCTGGCCAACATCGAAAACCACCCTGCCCTGCAAGTGTACTTAAGGAGCTGGGGATTCCGCGATATACATGCACTCGCGTAGCGGAGGGGGCTTCTTGAGGGGGGGGGGGGGGGGGGTAGTGTAAGGAATTTTCTCAGCATTCCTTACGGAGTCCAACTACATCGCGTACAGCAACAGCCGTTGTTCGCCCGTTACTGCGAACGGGGCTTCGCCAACTTCGCGCGCACTGTTTTGCCAAACCTCGCACTGCTGGCCCGGCCGTGTCGGCCTACGCTTCGGGACTCGCCCGAGCCTCGCTACCAGCATAGCACTAGCTAGCTCGCACGCACCGCGTTACCGTTTGCACGTTTCGCGTATTAATGTTTGCTCATGCCTTCGCTCACATTTTGTATTCGTTTGGCACCTTAGTGCAATCTTCGCTACCACGATCCATTGCACCCGTAACGGAAACAAATGACAAACGAGAGTTTTTTTTACTCTTACTACGCTTTGACCACTCATGTTTAAACATTATCTACAAATGCAGCAACATGATAGGAAAAATGCTGCTCCATAAAGCAAGCCGAATACCTAGAAATGTTAGGTGTTAGCACTACCAGCAACGGCAGGATTACCACTTGCACTGCTGCTCCCAACAGCACCTTCACCCGCGTGACCATCGGCCCCTGCACCATCGCTCCCTCCCCCACCTTCCTCCCTCCTCTCCCCACCTTCCCTCCTCGCATCCTCACCACTCCCCCCACTTCCCCTTCTCGCCTCTCCACTCCCCCCTGCCTCGCCATTTCCCTCCCCCGCTTCTTCCCCCTCACTCCCCACTCCTTGACTACCCTCCCCTCTCCTCTCCGAATCCCCCCCTCTCTCCCCTTCCTCCCCCAGGGAGGGGGGAGAAGAGCGGTCCTCCCCTTCCCCCAGGGAGGGGGAGAAGAGCGGGGCACTGCCCTGCAGCACGAGGCGCATGGTGGGGTCCTGCATGGCTGACGTCACCCTCCTGTCCAGCTCCCCCAGCCTCCGGCTCAGAGCCGCAAACTGCTGCTGCATCTGGTGGGGGGGGAAAGAGGGGGGGGGGACGAGGGATAAGGGGGCACATTTGATAAGGGAGAGAGGTCACCCTCCCTCCTGCCCAGATCCCCCAGCCTCCGGCTCAGAGCTGCAAACTGCTGCTGCATCTGGAAGGGGGGGGGAGGGGGAGGAGAGAATCATAAAGCAGGATGTCACAGCAGTTGTAGCACGAATCTGCTGCAGCAGTTGTAGCGCATGCCTACTGCAGCAGTTGTAGCACATGCCTGCTGCAGCAGTTGTAGCACATGCCTGCTGCAGCAGTTGTAGCACATGCCTGCTGCAGCAGTTGTAGCACATGCCTGCTGCAGCAGTTGTAGCACATGCCTGCTGCAGCAGTTTTAGCACGTGCCTACTGCAGCAGTTGTAGCGCATGCCTGCTGCCGTGTCGTGCCGTCAGGCAGTGTGGCGCAGTGCAGACCAGCCAGGCAGTGTGGCGCAGTGCAGACCAACTCGTCCATGCAGCAGGTGAGTGGTGTGTGACTTCCAATTGCAACCAACCACTCCTGGCTTGACACGTGGCAGGATTGTGGAGCTCCTGTTCTACCTCTCGTCGCACGCACTGGCCTCATTTCTCGCAAATAAGGCTGGTAGAGAGGTGGAGCACGTGGCACAAGTCGATTTTTGAGTGCGACCAGTGGTTGTGCAGCAAGCAAGCACACACATGGGAAGCACTCGCTTGCTCCATTGACGACTTGGTCTGCTCTGAGCCACACTGGCCGACGACATGAGAATTGGGTGCGACCAGTGGTTGTGCAGCAAGCAAGCACGCACATGGGAAGCACTCGCTTGCTCCGTTGACGAGTTGGTCTGCTCTGAGCCACACTGGCCGACGACATGAGAATTGGGTGCGACCAGTGGTTGTGCAGCAAGCAAGCACGCACATGGGAAGCACTCGCTGGCCTGCTCCTGACGGCACGGCTCGCAGCTGCTTTATCATGCCGTGAAAGGCGTGAGAGCATGGAGGGATGAGGCACCACCAGTAACCTGCTCCATGGACGAGTCGGTCCGGGCCACACTCGCTGACCTGACGACACGGCTCGCAGCTGCTCGATCTTGCTTCAAGGAGGCACAAGGACATGGGAAGCACGCACCTGCCTGCGCCAGCATGCATTCTTACGCACGCACGCACCTGCTCCATTGATGAATTGGTCTGCGCCACGCTGGCTGACGACACGGCTCGCAGCTGCTCGATCTTGCTTCAAGGAGGCACAAGGACATGGGAAGCATGCACCTGCCTGCGCCAGCATGCATTCTTACGCACGCACGCACCTGCTCCATTGATGAATTGGTCTGCGCCACGCTGGCTGACGACACGGCTCGCAGCTGCTCGATCTTGCTTCAAGGAGGCACAAGGACATGGGAAACACGCACCTGCCTGCGCCAGCATGCATTCTTACGCACGCACGCACCTGCTCCATTGATGAATTGGTCTGCGCCACGCTGGCTGACGAGACTGCTCGCAGCTCCTCGATCTTGCCTCTCAGCTCCATGTCTGCCCCGCCGCTTGCCAGCTCCATCTGGAGAAAGAGAGGAGGGGAGGGGAGGGGAGCGGCGGAGAGGGGAGGGGGGAAGGGAGATAAATGGGGAGGGTGGTGGTGTCGATGGTGGATCCTCTATTTCGCCTCCCCACTCCATGTCTGCCCCGAGGAACACCACTTATTGGTGGTGATAGACATTGCGTGGCTGCAGATTCGGAGTTGTTAGCAGTATGTTAAGAAAGTGAAACAGGCTTGTAAACAGGGAGATAAATGGGGAGGGTGGTGTGGTGGTGTCGATGGTGGATCCTCTATTTCGCCTCTCAACTCCATGTCTGCCCCGCCACTTGCCTTCTCCATCTGGTGAAAGAGAGGAGGGAGGGGATGGGAGGGGAGAGGGGAAGGGAGACGAGTGGGGAGGGTGGTGGTGCGGATGGTAGCTCGAACAGACGCCCCTCAATCTTGCCTCCCCACTCCATGTCTGCCCTACCACTTGAGCCGACTCAAAACGCGCCTAGTTTTGAGTTGACTCAAAACGAGTGGGGAGGGTGGTGGTGTGGATGGTAGCTCGAACGGAACCCCCTCGATCTTGCCTCTCAGCTCCATGTCTGCGCCGCCACTTGCCAGCTCCATGTGGAAAAAGGGGGCAGCGAAGGGAGGAGGGAGGGGTGGGACGGGAACGGGGTATGAGGGGAGAGGGTGGTGTGAACGGAAACCCCTCGATATTGCCTCTCAACCCCATGTCTGCGCCGCTGCTTGCTAGCTCCATGTGGAGAAACGAGGAGGGGAGGAGAGAGGGGTATGAGAGGGAAGGAGAGTGGGAGGGAGGAGGAGGAACAGGGTATGAGGGGAGAGGGTGGTGTGGACGGTGCTTCCTTCAACTTGCCTCTCAGCTCCATGTCTGCGCCGCCGCTTGCCAGCTCAAAAAAGGAGAAGGATGGAAGGGGAATGAGAGGGGAGGGTGGTGTGGAGGGTGGCTCCTCGATTAAGCCTCTCAACTCGAGGTCCGCGCCCCCGCCCCACTTGCCAGCTCCATCCGGATAAAAGTGTTGTTTTGAGACGTCTCAAAACAACACTTTTATCACCCAGCTCCATCCAGAGAAAACGAAGAAGAGAATGTGAGGAGGATAGAGGGCAGTTCAGAAAAGTTTTCCTTCCCCCCTCCCCCCTCCCCCTCCCTCCCCTCTCCCCCCTCCCCCCTGGCCCCTCCCCCCTGTCCCCTGGCCCCTCCCCCCTGCCCCCTGCCCCCTCCCCCCTCTCCCCTCTCCCCTCTCCCCTCTCCCCTCTCCCCTCTCCCCTCCCCAATCCCCCCTCCCCACTCCCCCCTCCCCACTCCCCCCTCCCCCCTCCCCCCTCCCCACTCATCCTTCCGCACTCCCCCCTCCACCCCCGCAGGTCGACTTGAAGGAACGAGGAGGAGACGGAAGGAGTGAGCATATTCGCGAAATCCAGGCGAACCTTGAAGCCTATTTGTGAGTCGACTCTGAAGAGAAACTGACACGTCACCTCTGAAAAGCCTAGCTGCGGGCTTGTTCAGATCAGAGCAAGGCCTTTCGGAGTAGGTTGTTTTCGGTCTGAGAATGAGCATTTCGAATACTCTGAAAACGCTGACCTTGTCTACAAAGGTCGCTTCTGCGAGCTTCGCAAAGCAAGCGAGCGCCCGACGATGCGACGTTTGAGTCGACTTTGAGAATTTCCAACTCTTTGGAGCGCTGACCTCGTTTACGCTTCTGCGAGCTTCGCAAGGCAAGCGAAGGCTGTGCGATGCGACTTTTGAGTCAGCCAATCAAGTTTACTCAAAAGTCAGCCGTTAAACGCTGACCTCGTTTACCAGACCCAGAGCCTGCAAAGCAAGCGACGTCCGCGCGTGACGATCCGGTAAACGTTTTCGCCTCTTGGGGCGCCTCAAAAGTCGCCATATTAAAAATTTCAACGCCCATTTTGATGAAATGAAAGCGAGCACCCGACATAAAGCTCATCTCGATAAAGCACTCTCTTCGTTACAACGCTCACTTCGATAAAAGGCTCACATCGTTAACGATCGCCGCCAGAAAATCGAACACCTCGACGAATCGTTCATCTCGATATAACGGTCAGTTCGATACAAGGCTCACGTCGTTAACGATCGCCGCGAGAAAATCGAACACCTCCGCGCCGTCGTCATTATTGCCGACCGCGGGTCCCCGCGATCCCCCTGCTGCTGTTGGCCGACCCATCGCGCGGAAAAAAAGCGGACAGGGGAGGCTGAATGCGGGAGAACCAGGACAGAAAAGTTGAATTGCCGGGGGGAATCTCGACTACGGACAAACTTAGAATCCCAGGGATGTCCAGTCCAGACAACAAAAGCGCAGAAAGCGCAGAAACCCTGGTTGAGGAAGGCAGATATGACAGAACGCCCCGCGGTCAGAGCCTGTGCTCGCACGGACTTGCAGGAGAAGGCAACCTGGAAATTTGCTCAAAACCTTCCATCAAGTGTAAGAAGAGAAATGTGCATGATAGATGCAATGCAGGCATGTGTAAAACGAGTACGACGTTCAGCATACACAAAGGCCCAGTTCTGTTTCCCAGCGGCAAATGGAGGGCGGACAGCAAAGGAGGCACCACTGGTGCGGCCGGGTGCTTCCGCGAAGCCAAGAACCTCCCACGTTGGTGCGATTCAGCTTCCTGCCACCCTCCGCGCAACTAGGTTAGCTTCGTAAAAGTTTTGCTAAGCTGACCGTTAAAATGATTCCGCGAAGATAATTGGTGGGTTTGGAGCAATACAGCCAGCCCGTACCAGAAATAATTATCGTCACCAATGGGACATTGCCTTTCCCTGTAACGTGTTGTTTTTGGGGCATTTGTCCCTGCCCGGAGCTACTTGTGCTGTCCCTGGGTCCGCGATTCGAGCGGGAACCAGTCTCGCACCCAGTTTGCCTGGGATGAGCGGACAGCACAGCACTACTGGTTCGGCGTTCTTTTGCGCTAGATAGCTGCACAGCGCAGCACAGCACTGGCCAGGTTCGGGAGAGAGTTCAAGGTCCCGAGCCTGATTCAAGGAGTGCGCCCTTAGATTGGAATCTTCGAGGATCACTGGTGGAGGCCCTCACGAAGCATCATCTAGTGCTGTGCGGAGGGGTCCGCACCAGTAGTGCGGCACCAGTAGTGGGTCATTATCGCAGCAACCCATGGGCAAAACGTACGTCCGCGAGAACTAACGAGCGGTTACAGAGCTCTGTTGCTTTCGCAAAAAAAAAAAGGCACCCCACGGGATAAGGGTGCGGAGAGGTGAGTAGCAGTTCCAATCGGTGAATCCTTCCAACTCGTCTAGACCGTACAGCACCGTACGCTAAAGTCGTCTACCGAACCGAAACATTTTTTAATCAGCATGGTGCTCCTTCGCCCACAAATCCCATCAACCCCGCCGAATGCCATTTATTCCGCTTCGTCCATCGTCTCGCGTCCCTTTTCTCGCCTGTCTGTGCCTTCTCGTCGCTCGCCCTTCAACTCCGCGCGTGTTCATCGTCTCCATTTAACGGTTCCGATTCAACGACAGGCGCATCTGTCGTTTCGCTCATCCCTTGGTTCCATCTGTCTCGTCTTCCGTCTCCCGCGCGCGATTTTGTGCGACGAGTCGTCATCGTCCGCGAATCTGCATCGGCCCTTCCTCTTCCACACCTTGTAAGTTCTATATACTACCAGCTCTTTTAATAGTAGTTGTATACTCATATACATTTCCTTCGTACTACCCTATCGTCGTCCGTCGTCTATTTGTTTTTCCCGCCAATTTCGCCACCTACTCCGCTTGCTGCAACAATCTGCGCGCAGATATTCTGATTTTAAAAAATAATGGTTCCGTCGATCCGATAGGCAGGCCAGTGGGGTTTCGGCTCGGTTTCCTGATTCGTACCTCTATCATCACTCTTTCGAGTCGCACTTTCTTACTCTCCCTCTCGCCTTCCTCCTCTCTTGCTCTCTAGCCGCCCCAACGTCCTCTTCTCCTCTTCACCTTGTCCAGCTCTGAAACCTGCTCCCTTGGTCTCCTCCCTTTGTCTCCTCTCTGCCATCTCCCTTGGTCTCCTCTCTTTGTCTCGTGCTCTGGAACCTGCTCCCTTGGTCTCCTCCCTTTGTCTCGTGCTCTCTCCCCACCCCACCATCCTCATCTGCTCACTTCATCTCTTGCAGGTGCATTAGAACCAGGATTCGTGGCCACTACCAGCAGCAGTACCAGCAAGCAGAACCAGGATTCTTGGCCACGCAAGCAGGTGGACAGTGCGGCAGGTCGACAGCGCGGCGGGTCGACAGCGCATAGACACAGACAGGTAGAAAGGACAAGCGGAAAGGCACTCAAGGGGAGCAGGACAACAGACACGCCGGGTACAATTGGAGAGTGGACCGTAGTAGCAGTGGAGCAGGCATGTCGAAGGGTCTAGATACGGTGCACCGGGTGGTGGTGGGGTCTCTGGGGCTCGCCACCCTCGTTCTCGGCACGTCTGCTTTGCTCAACGCCGGCAGCGCGCTTAGCTGGCACTGGAGCAAGGTGAGCTGGCACTGGAACAAGGTGAGCTGGCTGTGGAAGAATGTGAGGTGGCGAACTGAACAAGATGAGCCGACGTGTGCGGCAAGTGCTTCCCTGCAAGTGCTTCTCTAAAAAGGCTTCTATAGAAGTGCTTCCTTGCATGTGCTGGTTTCTTATTAGGTGAGACCCTCCACTTATGCTTGTGTCCTTCATTGCGGATAAGATAAGGCCTATCAGCTATGGGTCGCATGCTTGGTTACGATACCCACATACTTACACTCACTTCTGTTTTCGCAGTGCAACCATATAATATGCATGCTTATAAAACCTCTACACTGTGATGTGTTTTCTGTCTTGTTGTGCAGCTTCTCCGTGCCATTAACCTTTCTCCATTCTCTTCTGGCTCCTTTATGTTCTTCGATTGGTTTCCAGTGTTCATGGTTTGCGGTTTCTTTGGTGTTTGTTGTCCTCTTTTTCCCTTTCCCATCGGTGGTGGCAGGACAAGCGTGCAATTGAAAGCGAGATCAATGCAACCCCGCCTGCTGACACATCGTCATCACCTGAATGAAGTATTGTTATTTGCGACAACGTTAGGCTTATGGCTGGAAGAATTGCCTAACGCATGAGGAGACAGGTAGTGCATGAGAGTGTACACTTGGTGGCAAGGCTGGTGGAGTATCTGTGGTGTTTTCAGTGAAATGTGGAACCTTGCATTTGTTTTCAAGGCAATGCTGGTTTGTACGTATGCGTACGTACGGTATGCTTATGTGCCCAACATTTGTCATCTGCCGTTCACCTGTCCCTTCTGATTCCCAAGCTTTTGGTTGTCACAGTGGCTCCAGCTGACCTCAGGATTGCATGCACATTGCAAACATTCACACACAGTATGTTGTTGGCCCTGCTGCACTTGTAAGCTCGTTGTCTACACATGGCCATTCTTTCGAACATGGAGCGAGTCCCTCTTTGACAGAGTGACTGCGAGTGACGACGATAAGGTGACGTCGACGAACGGCCGAGAGACCCGTCGATCTTCCGTCGCCGTCACCTCATGGCCGACAGCCTGTTCGCTGGCCCGCTGTCAAAAAAGAGAACAAACGTGCAAACCGCGACACGAGTGGCAGGTGTGTCACCACCACACCAGTTCCTACAGCACAGTAACCAGCCCAGCCAGATCACAAATGCATAACCCTTGCTGGTCTCCACGACAGTGCTCCCGCAACTTCGTGATTGCTCCGCCATGCAGGGGAGAGAGGTTCGGGCAGGTGCGTTGGTGGATTCAGTGCCCTGAAATTTGTAAGTACTTATAGTTACAGCACTATATGACTTCGAAAGATAATTCACTCAATATTGAAAGCTGTTACTTAATACTTGCAAAATCCAGTCAGAAGAATGACTATGCCAGCTAAACATTGGAACCACATTCCCGTTTTATCAAGCAGAAATGAGAAAGTGTACAGCCGTGAGGACATGTAGTTTCATGTTTGTTTCCCACTCAATAAAAATATGTTCTGCCCTGCCAGAAATGGAAATTGTGGCACGATTGCTTGCCCAGCCAGAGAAACTTGTGAACAAATTTTTGCAACAGCGCTAATGGCTGGGAGAAAAATCTCTCAAGTGAAGATGGATTTTGGCGGTTCCGTGGTCGGTATGCACTGTAGCGTGGCGGAACACTGCAGCGACGCACCGTCATCACAAACACGGTGCTCCTTGATCCACCGACAAACCGCCTCTCGCGGACGGAACCTCAACGAGAGTCGATGCCCCGCTGGAGCGGAGCGGCCCCCGAATACACTCCTCCCCTCCCAAACCACCCCCACTGCTTCCAGGCTGACCCTTGCCCGTCCACCACACCACACAGCTGCAGGGGAGAACGGCCCCGAATTCCCGCAAGCAGGGCTAATTTTTCGTTTTTGAAGATCTGGATGCCTCCGGGGCCCCCACATAAACGTACGTAAAAATCCGGATCCGTAGAAATTTTAACCTTTCCGAACCGGATTCCAACAAGCGGCACCCTGAGTCAGTGTATTTTCAAGAACCAGCCTCCGGTCTATCGACTCGTCAGTGCTGTGAAGTACAAGTGAAGAACACAGGTATAGAAAAAGTCCTCGAAGAAAGCACTTCCATCCACTCAGGGCCACTTCATCCATCCTGAAATATCTCACACTTAACATGGCTAAACATCCCTTATACTGAGACTTGTGCGAAAACCACGAGTAATTGTTAAGTTGCAGATACCTGTTTTGCACTGCAGATGTTAATCCTTCAGGGGCGCGACCTATCAAATCTGGCACGAAGGTTTTCGGGAAACACACTTCAGCGTCCAAACTTTATAGAAAATACCCTTTGCGTGTCCGGATGATTTGGAAGTCGTTCCCCTCAAAATGCGGATCTCTGACAAAAACATCCGGAATGTTGAAGAAATTCCGGATGTGCACCCTGCTA